CATATATGTCTATATATGTATATGCATATATGTCTATATATGTATATATGTATATATGTCTATATATGTATATATGTATATATATAAGTCTATATATGTATATATGTATATATATATGTATATATATGTATATATGTATATATATATGTATATATATATGTATATCTGTATATATGTATATATATATGTATATATATATATATATATGTATGTATATATATATATATATGCATGTATATATGTATACATACATATATATATATATATGTGTATATATGTATATGTTGTATATATGTATATATATGTGTATATATGTATATGTTGTATATATGTATAAATATGTGTATATATGTATATATATATATATGTGTATATATGTATATGTGTATATATGTATATGTGTATATATGTATATATATATGTGTATATATGTATATATATATGTGTATATATGTATATATTTATGTATATATGTGTATATATATGTATATATTTATGTATATATGTGTATATATATGTATTGTATATATATATTATATATATATATTATGTATATATATGTGTATGTATGTATATATATATATATATATATATATATATATATATATACCTTAGATAAAGAATGTAGCTAATTGTCTTTTATGTGAATGTTCCTGTAAAGTGCCCTGAGACAAATTTGTTGTGATTTGACGCTATATAAATAAACTGAATTGAATTGAAACTGAATTATATAAATATAAAATACTTTTATGACTTAAACTTTTTTCAGTAATCTTTGATTATGATGTCAGAAGTGCAACAGAGAACATCAAATGAGACCAATCAAACTCTTGTTGAGGAACCTGTGACTAAGAAAATATGTTTGGTATCTTAACTCAAGTTAATGTAGTTTCTGAAAGTGGCTCTTTTTTTGAAAAAGGTTTTAATTTTGTAAGTGGGTCGGACACCCCAGCTTTAATCTGAAATAACTGTTGCAGCTTCTCATTTAAATTCAGGGATGATAAAGTTCTCCACACATGAAGTTTTTTATTATTACTCGTTGAGAAAAGTTAAAAACACAAATCTGTTTCCACAAGAACTACTCATAATAGTTGTGTCTAATTTTCACAGTTGAAACTAATGACTTGCTGTCATTGTAAAGTGTGTAACTATTTTTGTCTTGTGTTGTTTTGTTTATTTGCTGTTACTGTTTCCTTCATTTCTTGGAGGTATTTATTAGACATAGTGTTGCTCTCCATGGGAAGCTACCTTCGACATTTCTATGATGAACTAAGAGTTGTTGAGTCTTTGGATCACACGGTCTGAAACAGAAATAAGGATCTCTGGTATTCATCGTACGTCTGTGAGATTTTTCAACCACGTTCAACTCAAAGGTGTTCCCACCGTGTTTGCATGTCGATAGTTTACTCAGGCTTAACTCCAGTTTCTTGTGTCTGCCCACTGGTCGGTACTACTTACACTAACACTCACACATGTGGGAGGTATGTTGGAAATATCTCCGTGTTTGGATCATGGAGGTTGTGGCAGCTTTCAGAACATTCCTAGTGTCTGCTACAAATACTTTCCACCGGACTGAAGTCTGGGGCCAGAGACGGGACCTGACCCCAAGGTGTGTGATGGTTCTGAGGACTGAAGTCTGGGGACAGGGACGGGACCTGACCCCAGGGTGTGTGATGGTTCTGA